ATAACAATAATACTATTAATAATAATACAAATAATAATAATACAAATAATAATAATAATAATAATAGTAATAATAGTAATAATAATAAAACATAATAATAATAAAACATAATAATAATAATAACAACAACAATAATGATGACAAAAACCGCCAACCTGAACAACAATCCCCAGCTCTCTCCTATAGGTCCTCTCAGTCATCAGTAACTCCTTCATGATGAAATGGCCAGCCACTACGCTGCCAGGACTCTGTGGCTTTACAATGAAAAATAATAAAAAAAATAATTATAATTATATATAATTGAAAATTAGAGAGAGAGAGAGAAAGAGAGAGAGAGAGAGAGAGAGAGAGAGAGAGAGGGGGGGGGGGGGAGGGAAAGAAATATAGAGAAGGATAGAAAGAATAGAAAGAGACAAAGCAAGAGAAAGAGAGAGAGAGAGAAAGAGACTGAGAAAATGCTGTAATAGTAGTAGTAGTAATGGTAGTAGCAGTAACAGTAGTAGTAGCAGTAATACAACACTCCTAAAGCTTCACGTTTGTAAATTAAAAACAAATCAAACGGCCAGAGAGTGGAAAAATTTCGTAAAAAATACAAACAAAATATAGAAAGTAACAAATTAATCATCGTCATCATCGTCGTCGTCCTCATCATCATCTCACCATCCATAAAAATCACTCGTTTTCAAAAATAACAAATGCTTATTAAGAACAAGCAAAAAAATTACATAGCAAAACAACAGTGACACAATATGGCAAGACGAGAAGATATCTAAAACCCAAAATCAACAACAAGAAAAAACCACAACACACACACACAAACACACACAAACAGACATACACACACAAACACCTTTTTAAAGCTAACATCATCAGCAGATTCAGTGGTAGCAATGTGAATTTGAGAAGTCGGTAAACTTAATTCACTGGAAACGTTGTTGATGTTGTTAATGTTGTTGCTGCTGTTGCCTGTGACATCTAATCCACTTTTAAATTTCAAATTGTTGTTAGTGAATTTGTTGTTGTTGTTGTATAAAGTAATGTTGTCAACGCTTTTCGTAGCGTTGTTTGTTGAAGTTTGTTGTAGATTTGGCTCGATGTGAGACGATGACGACGAGTAGAATGACAATGACATCATCGCGCTGCTGTTGTTGTAGTTGTTGTTGTTTGTTGCTGTTGTTGACGCTGAGGTCATTCGTTGTTGTTGTTGCTGCTGTGGTTGGATTATTTGGGAATGTCGTTGATTGTTGTTGTTGCTGCTGCTGCTGATGTAGTTGTTGTTGTCGTCGATGTTTAGCAGCAAATGTTTCTCTGAGACGTAAGTTTTAATGTTGTTTTTATTGTTGGTGACGGTGGCGAATGTGTTGCCGTCGTCAACAAAGTTGAGAGAACCACCGACGTTTTCATCAAAAGATGATTTCTGCGGAGATGATTCAGGCGTTGGAAAGAATTTGTAAGTTTTTGGGACATTTTGAAGTGGATCGTGTTGTTGTTCACTTGTTGCAGCTACATATGCAACAACCATGTTTTCTGAATCGAGATTAGCCGAGAAGTATTTTTTGGTAGTTGAGGAATATTGAGGAAATTTGGTGCAAGGTGATGGTGGAAGTTGGTGATCCGGGTCGGATTGTCGCTTGTCTTGCTGAGGTAACTCGTGCTGAAGTTGAAACTGTTGGTGCAGTTTCAGCTGCTGGTGTGGCTGTTGTGGTAGCTGGGGTGGTTGTGGTTCTAGTTTAGACTGAGAATCATTCTGTTCTTCATCATCCTTAGTTTTCAAATGGAAGCACTCGCTCCGACTTTCATGCAAAGGAAGGCTAGTGATAAATGTTTTTTTTTACCTCATCCAGTTTACAGTCTTAACACAATTTTTTAGAATATTAGTTTCAATCAACTTTTTATCGGTCGGTTAGTTAATGAGTATATAGAAAAATCAATCAATTAACTAGCAAACGAGCCAACCAGCCAGCCAACCAACCCACTAATTAATCACTCAACCAACTAACCCATATGGCGCGTTGTTTAACTCTTCTCCAAGCCTTCTACCGTCCCCAACAACATCATCCTCAATGATTTTCGTAGGAATATCATCAACATCAGGCGATTTAGTCAGGGTGCCTCTATCAAAATCATTCAGGTGGTGAGTCTGGCGATCCTGGTTCGAAAGCAACTGAGGCATGGACGAATTTTTGTTGATGCTGTTGTTGTTGTCGATGTTGTTGTTTATTATTGGTTGTTGGAAGGCATTTGGAGGTGTTTGTCGCATTGATAAACTGACGTCTTCCACTCGCTGATGTTGATGCTGATCATCTTATATATAGTGGAAAGAATTTATAT